CTTTACATACATACTACTATGATAAGTGTAACGAGTCATTTTTAATTGAAATAAATAAAACAAAAAAAAAAAAAAAAAAAAAAGAAAGAAAAAGAAAAGAAAGAAAAAGACGAAACATACTTAAACAAGACAGAGTCAAATATTTTTACCTGCAATCGAACTTTCGGTTCTTTCTGATTTACTTTTGCTCTCCTTCCTCTCGCCACACAGTGAAAATAGAACGTCCGTTCTATTGCATTATTATAATTTATTTCATATAAACATTTGATACAGTTTTAAAATTTCATTTCGTAGAGCTTAGCATTTAGTAGTTTAGTGTTAATAAGTAATTAGGTTCTATAGAATATTATCGGAGATAAATTGGATGGAGTGATCGAGGAGAGTCAAAGTTTGGTTTGGCATGATTATCGTGTTCACTTTGATACATTCGGATATATAAAAGAACATCTGCAGAACAGGATGCAACACCTTAGCCGGAAAACGAGGCGTTTGAGAGGAGATGTGTTTCCCTTCCTTTCGAGAAAAGGAAAAGCGGGCTTCACACACATATATATATATATATTTTTTTTTTTTATCGTTTTGCTTATCTTTCTTTCGCTCAAGCCCAAAGATAATCGAGTAAAATTTACAAGTAGTGAGATACAGGTATCTGCAAAGTGTAAATTTTGTTTCTTTCATTGAGCAATGTCGTTTAGTCCAGTTAGTCCGTAAATTTTAGAGCATTGGACTTGTTAAAAAATTGATACGTAACGATATTACAAAGATTCTTGCCTTCGTCGAATAATATTCATTTTATCTCGTAGAGATTTTTTTGAAAAAGGGGCCATCAACTACCAAGTTCGTATTTATTTTACATTTATTCGATATGCGCAATAGTGCATCTTCTTATTTTTATTTTTTACATCGTAAGAAATCAACAAAGATTGGTCTCAATGGTCTGATAGTCCTCTCGATCGAAACAGGCACTCGGGGTGATATATGTTTTGTCGATCGTGATCGAACGCTCTTTTTATTCGATCTAAACGCGGCGCTGGTGATAAAAAAATTTCTAGTTGTATCATCCGACTCGATAGGGCCATGATTGAATTGCATGTTGTCTGCAGATACCGGTCACTATAAAATAAGGTACGTATTTTGATCTATATGAATAACTATGGGGAGAATCGTCTATATCGACTAAATCTTATCTATGCTCGTTAAAAGTTATCTTACTTTAAATATACAGTAAATATACATGTATGCTTAAACTGTCAGAATATTCTCACCGCTGTGATCGAGTAAGAAGGGGTGGCCAGGCGTCAATCCTCAAATCGTCAGAATTTTATTCAATTTTAAAAGTTCATTGCAAGATTCTTGCAGCGATTCTTCAAAAAAGTGCGGGCAATGCTTTCTATTCGTTTTTTTTATAAGTTTGTAATAAAAAATAACGAAGGCTGACGCTATTGAGAAAATTGAATTAAAATATTTTATCGATGACTGACGAACGATTCGAAGATTGACGAACGATTTTGGGATTGTTGACGCGGGTTTATGTATAGATACATGTGTACAGTGGAGAGGTAATTCGTTTACCAAGCAAAGATTGTCTGCAAGGGTTTGCTTCGCGAGTGAAAACATTGTTACAATTTAAGCATAGTTGATATATCATTAATTCGCTTTATGTATGGACTAGACTCAATTACTTATAATAATAGATCTTTATATAATATTGCAAAAAAAAAAAAAAAAAAAAAAAAAGGAAACGTAGTTTTAAGCTGTACGGTCGAAAATGTGAATTTACAATGTGGGTCCTCGAGACTCGTTACTGACGTTGTCGTTCTTTTCTTAATGTCTTATAATTTTCGTGATTTTTTTTCGAAATTAAAGGAGAAAGATATGTAGAAATTGATATGTTTAGTATCGTTTTTTCTTTTTTTTTTTTATTGTCGATCTTTCTTTCATTATTCTTTCAAATTCTCTTTGTTTCTAATAAAAATCGTGAACGATCTACATTTGTATTCGAAGAACCATCAGTAACAAGCGTTCAAGGTTCGCGAAATTCGTCCTGTGTCGTAAAGCCGATCAGCGGACTGGATGTTTACAAAGAATTCATAGCAAAATAGTTTCGTATATTGTATAACACTACAACGACATGAAATAGGGTAAAGTTACAGAATAATCGTAGTTCGAGAGTTTCAAAAAGGATGCGTGGATCGGAAGGAAAAAAGAGGATTTCATTCGGGTAGCCGAATAGAAATCGTTACCGGCTACCCCGTTGAATTTAAACGTTCCTATCGGCAAATAATACAATATATATCTTTATGTATACATATATATCTCTTTGTATACATATATATATATATCAAGATTGCAATAGAAGGGGAAGGAGTGTAACACGTTCCCCTTCACCTCTATTTTGTTCTGATATGTATGCGCAAAATAAAATCACGTTCTTTCGTTCTTTTTCCTCTTTTTTTTTTTTTTTGCGTTATCTCTGATCTCTGCCTGGAGATTCGAAGCATGTAAATTGTAAATCACTCTTGGTTTCCTCTTTGAAACGCGGACAGTTCAATGCCACGGAAAGTCGATCGAGACTTCCGGTACTACTCTTTCCCCCAAAATTTCACTCCCATTCCTCGCCTTTTTCACGCAGTCTTCGCTCGTTTACCGAGCACACGGGCGTTACGTTCGCGAAATGAGAGTTACACGTCTAAAATTATGGAAGGCTCGCCTAGCTTCGCTAGACCGTCGATTTACGCGCGTGTACATAAATAGCCGTATAAATTAATTAAGTACAAAAACTACAAACTTATTAACAAAAAACATTGGCAAGACTGAGGTTCAACCGAATCGAGAGTTTCTCCCATTTCTCTTTTTTCCTTTTTTTTTTTTTTCTTTTTGTTCTCGTCTTGGCCCGTTCAACGGAATACGCAACTGTATCATCTCTGACATTCTTTGATAGGAAAACGCAAACAGTGTGATCTGGGAATCGAATTATTCAGAGTTTTCTTCTCTCTTTCTCTCAAATGAAACAGTAGCGCAAGATAGAGTGATAATTAAACCGCGGATGCTCATGCAAATTTATATTTTAGCGAACGTAACTTTAAAAAATAGGATCTAAATAGAAATTTATTTCGTCTGTCAATTAAATATCGCAACAAGCGATTCCACCTCTGAATGTTTTACACATGTTTTGCGTAGATTTTTGAAATGGATTTCTACATAAACATCCACAAGTTTGGTGACGATAGATAGGTGCAAAAGGAATTTGCCATGCATTAATACGTTATATACTTTGGTCCATGATAATTAGGATTTTCAGTATGTGAAATGGAACATTTCGCGATGACATAATTCGACTCCTCGTCAAAGTGCGGCGAACATTGAACGTTTCTCTAATTTCCCACAATTTTTCCCCCATTTTCAGTTCCGCGTACATGAATCTTAAATATCTTTTAGAAGAATACCGCACCTTAAGTTACCTAACACATATCACAGAATCATGTGTATTCCATTTAAAAAATGATTACACGCACGAAAACGCAATGATACGATTAACTCCTTACGAGAATGTTCCGCGATCCGATACCCGATTAAATCTGGTACCCTTCTGTCGCAAGGTATTAACAAAGAAAGAAAGAATAAAGCAACGATAGTACATACAGCACGATCACACGATATACGCAGGCCTAATTAAAAACTAAATTTCATACATGTGTTGCGTTTCTCGTAGCTCGATCGAGGCGATTCATTTTGTGCTCCTCGACGGAATCTATATTGCTCCTTTCTTCTCGCTCGATGGATGGAGGATGGAAGTGTGGTTACCGCGTCCCTCTAGCGAGAGCGATTCGAGCATTTGCTTGAAAAGAAGTTTCGTGGAAGGGCTCCTCTGTGTGTATCGTAATTATTTTTAATAATTACAAGAAAATAGAAGGAAAACTTACAAAAATGTATACAATTGGAATTGAAGGGACACGCTAGCCACACTCCGAATGTAACAGCTGATTACGAACCCAAATATTATTGATATGTTAATCACAAACGTATCTTTGAATTACAATCTTTCAGCTGGCAGAAATTTTGTGGACACTTGTCACGCGAGTCGGTTTCCAGCCGAATCTAGCTAAACGAGGATCTCCGTAATCATTACCTTTCACACGGTTTCACAATTCGACGAGCGGGAGACTGCACGAAGGATTCTCGTGAAAACTTAACAATACGGTCGAACGAACGTAATCAACCGCAACATACACGTACATTTCGTACGTACGTCGTAGCAACGTCTGACATTAACTGCAAGTGTGTAGCGTTATGTAGCGGGAACACTCTTAACAGCTTCAACCGGTGTTATTCTGTATGATACAGTCACACGTTTTGCGAATCGTCTCGGTGAAACTATCTCCTGATACCTGTGGACAATCAAGACGACGACATTTAGGAAGATAGAAATTAAATATCATAGAATGCAATCATTAGACTGCGGATGTTTAACCATAGTATATTAAACCTACATTCACATACATACATTCAGAAAAATCAGAGAAACCTAAATCTAGACGAACATCTACGGACAATTCTGTCTTACATAAAAATGATCAGCTCGATAATTACTATATCACGAAATTACCTTTATCACTGAAACCGAGCGACGCTGAGGTGGCGAAGAGACTATTGGTTGAGCAGGGTGTTAGTCACCTCAGAGATGGACAACAAAGGACTCCCGGCGTCCGGTTTGGAATCTGAGGGACAGTTGGACCCATTCCCGCCGCTGATGATCCCACCGCGTGCTGATGCTGAGAGTGGTGGTGCGGTGGATGGTACAAGGCGTTGCTGTTGCTGGTGCTGCTGCTGTCCGGGCCGATGCCCATGCCGATTCCTGTCCCCGTTCCCACAGCTGACGGCGGTGTGCTGCAACCGAAAGAGCGTGTTTCCCCGTTATTTGCAACCCCTTTCCAGACTTCCACGTTTCATCTGCGCATTCTTTACTACATTTCATAATCCATTATTAACAACAATATTAATCTTTACGAATGCTCAACGTAACAACAATCCTCTTCTCCTCTAAGTGCAGTGAGAGTCAAATTAAATAATGCGACAAAAGAAGTTCGTTCGGGCTTCGAAACGAATAAACGTGGACATGCAGAGTACGATTGAATCGATAGTGGTACGTTTGAGAGAAGTTTCGTGCATTACTTGTTACGTGCATGCCCAGAACAGTCAAATATCAAAGGTATCGAAGGTACGGTATATCACTTTTCGCGCGACTATTTTTAGTCTATCAATCATCTTGATGGATATTACGCTTCTGTGTAATGCTTCTAATAAAGAATCCCCCCCTCCATCCCCGAGATTTAGAAACTATTCTTATTTAACCCCTCGAGGTTAACTTACGATAAAATCTAATCAACCAAGAATTCTCAGCTCATATGCAACAACTCCAATGAAATAAGTGCTACGATATTTCAGCTATCCTAGAGGGATTAACGACTACCTGAAAAAGTATCATTCGTAACCTTTAAACTCGTTTCCAGACGTCGAAAGAGTTATACAGAGTTGATGGAAGCGGTACAACGAGGTCGTAAAATTAGTCAGTGATTAAAGTTTGCAACTTTCAATGATACCTACCTCGCTCAGGATCTGACGATCGTTCCTTCCATCGTAGCGTATCTAAATAGAATTATCTCTTCGTTTCTCAACTTACATTCCGGGAGTTTCGATTTTTGGCAACTATTACCGATATTACAAAGATTAACTCCAAACAACTGACGCAAGTGCCTGCGTGCGGCCCTAACGGCTGACTCAACCTGACTTTTGTTGAAAGTAGCAAACATCAACCACTGACCGATTTTACAACCTCGCTGCACCACCTTTCGTCTTCTAGTACGTTTTAAAATCTGTGAGGCAGCAGTGACACTCACTGGGGCGCGTGCCTTGGTGGTGCGGGGTGGTGATGGTGGTAAGGATAGTACTGGTAGTGGTGGTGGTGTTGCACTCCTTGCCATACCTCGGAGCCCGCTTCCCCGTGGCCATGGCCTGGATGCGAGTGCGCGTATCCGATAGTGCTGGCTGCTGCGGCCGCGGCTGCAGCCGCCGCTGCCGCCGCTGCTTGATACTGAGACGTGGTCACCGGGTACTGCTGATGTTGATGCTGTTGCTGCTGCTGTTGCTGCTGCTGTGGCTGCTGCTGCTGATGATGTTGATGTTGTTGCTGTGGCTGCGCCTTGGTCCTCGGTGAACTAGGCGCGGTGGTCTGTTGCTCGCTGGGCGACGTCTGCCGCCATTTGCACTCGCCGTTCATTGAATTCATCTCTGCCAGCGACTTCAGCGGGTCACCAGCCGTGGCGTTAGTGGAGTGCGTAGAGGAATGAGTGGAATGTGGCGTGGGCGGACTGTAGCTGCCGTTGTTTCTTGGCGGAGTACGAGCAGGAGGTGCTCCCCACATGAGGACGGTCTGTCGCGGCGCTTCGTTGCCGTAGACTTCCGGCTTCACGTCCTCTATCTTCGGAGTGAGCACGCCGTTCGTTGGTCCGGTCACCGGGGAACTTCCAGCAGAATTGCTGGAGGAAGCTCCACCTTCCAGGGAGTGCCTGCTGCCGGCACGTACGATGTTGATGTCCGTTGTTGCGGTGTGCATCGTCGACGCGCTTGCGACAGGACTGGCTGCGTACGGTGAGCCACTGACACTGCTAGGGTGTCTTGTTTCCACATAGCTGTACTTGGGAGACTCGCCCAGCTGCTGACAGTAGAGCTTCTCTTCGGCTTTGCTCGTCAGTTGGTGCGTTTCGTAGGTGGGCAGCGAGACATCGATGAAACCGTTGTACGCCGTGCTCGTGTGGTACTCGGGGTAGTAGGAACCTAAAGGTCTGTATTGGAACAGGTTCTCCGTTGCTGCGGTGAGATATCTAGATTCGAAGACGTTTCACGATTACTTTACATTCTCCAGAAATTTCTTGAATTTAATAATTATACAGCGACGGGCTGAAGGAAGTTTAACATTGAAACTACGTTTTGAACTATCCTCACCTATTGTCCAATGCAGTTGCCGGATATAAAGTCTGATGGTAGTTGCCCGTGTGACCGATGTACGTGGTCAACGAAGGATCCGTGCTGGCTGCGACCGCTGTGGGTGCGTAAGCAGTCGGGTACATCGTGTTCAGGTTGCTGTACGCCGCTGCAACTGCAGCTGCAGCGCTGGTATCGGCTGCGAGGTAGTCCACGGATGCGACAGTAGGTGTGGCCGGCGGGGAAACGGACGATTGTGCGGTCAGCTTGGTACGTTTGTTCCGACAGGTCGACAGGAAATCTCTCAGCTGGGTCTTGTACCGCCTGTTCACTCTCTGCGACGTCGGTTGGCTGGGGAGTGTCGGCGTCATCACGGAACCTGTGAGACTATCGCTGTCCGAAAAGTAGCTGTTGGTCAGACCGGCGTCAAGGTAGCTCACTTTGAAGTCCATTGTTCGTTTACCGAGAAGGTCCCTGCCTTCTTCCTCCCTGATAATTTAAGAACAAATTGTTAAAGCAAATTGTTATTTCTTTGGAAACAATTCATCCGGTGGCAGTTTCAAATTGCTCAGTTTGAGATACTTGCATGAGAGGTCGATGCGTGCTGATGACAAAGTCGGGCTTCGAGTTTTTGTAGACTAGCCTGGAGCTAGTTTGCAGCCACTGCCATCCACCGTCTTTCTTTTGGAATCTGTACGCTATCATTCCCGAGGCTCCGGTTTTCAATACTGAAAATTGTCGCAGACAGATTCCACTTTAATATATTTTCTCTAGATGACACTCGGATATTAACGTGTATCACGTTAGTTCATGCAATAAAATATAAAAAAATGAGACAAAATGTTTCGCCACTCGCTAACATCTGGATACGAGGAGAGATCTAAATAAAATTGGAGAAATGCTTACGTTCTTGATGAGCGCTCGCGACGTACGCCAAATCATCGTAATGGACTAGATCATAGCCGCCGAGGTTCGCAAGTTCCGCGTCCGAATATCCCAGCAACATTTTCCCCCGTTGGTCCATCGACACGAGCGCGAGATCCAGCTTGTGCTTGCTCTTGAACATCACATCCTTTTGCGGCACCTCGAGCAACGACGGTGGTCCGAACGGCGTGCACAGGGCAAACAGAGCCAACGGTGGCTCCTCCGTCTTTCGGTTTTGACCGTGCAGTATCTTCACTCGTCCCCTGATGTCCAAACGCTGCAAAAAGAACAGAGACTGAACTTATGCGATTTTCTCACAGATCCCGAGCAGAGTAGCCTTAACTAAAAAGGTAGTTATCCATCGTGCCCGAGAGTGAACGTAAATCAAAGCCGTGGACAAAACCGAGTTCACCCTTTGGCGAGCGGCGAGCCGCAACGCGACAAAACACCAATTATCTTGCAGCCAGACAGCTGGCAAATACAGAGGTATACGCGGGACAAGTAGGCTCTCGAAGCAATAACGAAGAACGAAAAGGTGGAGCTTGCGATCCGACCGGGTCACAGGACAATCGCGCAAAAAGGTCACCGCCCCCAGCGTTTATGAAAATGAAATTGTAATCGTAAAAGATTTACGGCGAGAAGGAAACATCCTAATCGACGTTCCACTTTGCGACACGATAAGTTCCGCGTTTTTGTCGAGATTCACGTGTTACGGAGATTATAAAGGTATTACTTGACAATAAATCTACTTATAAATCTTCATCAGCTTCTTGAGAATGGTCTTTCATTGTTCTAATTATTTTGTACACTATTTAACGCATCAAGAGTCGAACGTCTTAATGCAGTTGATCGTATGAAAGTTACAGCTATGAAAAGGAACTTTAAGAATTAACTCAATACTTCCTTCGTCATTTTGTAAAATTTGAAGAATTAAGAAGAACACTGTTTATTGTCGCCAAGGCTTAGATTAAATAAACTAATAGCATCCAAGGTAGATACAGAGGGTAGGTTAGAAATAGCAGTGAAAACTGCTGATTGAGAATGTTGACGAGGCAAATTCTCGGAGGAGTAGGTGGCTGCAATTCCAACCGCCAGATGTCGAAGAGAAACACGCGATAATTATGGTCGATCCGAGAAGGGGGCTAGCTCCCTCCTCCACAATTAACTCTATTATCGTGAGCTACGGGGTTAAACGTGGCTCACGCTGGCAATTATGAAAATTTGATGCCGTAAAAATCGGATCGATATAGCCTCGCGACAGCCTATCGTTGTGACGCTCGAACCGCTCTCTCGGTCCGCTTATCGGCAAAGAGTCGGAACAGAGAACGATTTTTCGGGATACCAGGGTACGATATATCCAGAACGGAAACTGTTTCTCCACATGGGTTAACGGATCATCCTCGTTCGCGTGACTCTCTTGTGTACGGAAGGTTTCCATGAATGAACCAGAGTTACGTTGCACATTCACTAAACGAACGTGGAACTGTGACCAGGCATGCGAGATACGCACAGCTAAAGACCCGGTGTATCGATTCGACTGCTGGTACGAAACGGGCACGCCTCGGCTACGTGAATACGTCGGTACCGACGAGATGTTTCGCAATCGTTCCCCTGCCCAGTTTCAAATCTACCTTTCTACGATATTTAAACGAGTTTCAAATGAAAGCAAAGTTTTTAAACAATATTTTCACGTAGCCTTGAAATAATTTACGCGCAATTTTGAATGATTTTTATCGACGATGACCGCTGAGAGATTTGAAATGCCAATAAATATGATTTATAATCGTATTTATATGTTTGTAATTTACGAAGACAGCGAGGAGAACGTTCGACGGATTCTGTGAGCAATAACAGGGCAGTGAACTCACCAGAAAGCCGGAAGTGTTGTCCAGAAGACACCGGAAGCGGACGGTGAAGCTGCGCTCCAGAAGGTGACTGTGCTGGGGTGAGAGAGCGTCGTGCAAGGGGAGACTCGCATTTTCGGCCGGCAGAAAAGAATTCCACATGAGCTGCCTTTGGAGTTCCTCTCGATCTTCGCTGTGGACTAGCTCGTACACGCTTTGGTGGACGATGTCGGACTGAAACAAACGAAAGAAGAGAGATAATTAACTAAACAAGCTACGTTTGAGGAGTTTCTGGAAAGGAAATTTTCAAAGTTGATGCCGCATGAATACGTATGAAGAAGCGATAAATGTCCAAAAATGTGGGTGAACGTGTAGAAATAAAATTTCGCAACACGCTGAAACTTCTCGGAAATGGAAACATCGAAGCAGAGTGGCGCAGTGGAAGCGTGCTGGGCCCATAACCCAGAGGTCCGTGGATCGAAACCACGCTCTGCTAAGGGATGATTTCATCTCGGATCATTTTTTTTCTTTTTTTTTTTTTTTACTGCAAACTACTTGTAGCCAATTGGTAGCAAAGTTCCTATATAAATTTTCTTTCGTTTCTACGCATTTTAGCTGAATTTTAATGACAAAAATTAATCGTAGGTATTTGTAAGTTACAGAAATATGTGTGAGCAAAAAGATACGAAGAAAAAGAGAAAACACACCTCCTTTAGCAGAGCGTGGTTTCGATCCACGGACCTCTGGGTTATGGGCCCAGCACGCTTCCACTGCGCCACTCTGCTTCGTTAGGGGTGGTTTTTTAATAACTTTTCATGACGACAGATGTTGAATAATTTGATCGTGCATTTAATTAAATAAATTTGTAATTCAGCGTTTGAGATAATGTAATGCAAGTATATATTCGCTATTCAAACTTACGAATAGGTAAAAAGTTATATTCCTTAATAGAATGCACTATTATCTGCATTACAGATAAAAAGATACTGCAATATGTATTATATTTTATGTCTGGTAACGAGGAGAATTCCGTAACAATTGTTGTGTGAACGATAATATTCAAATGAACTCTCTGTCTTATATATTTATCTTCTTATTATCGGAAATTCTGCAATAACAGATCAATCTTGATAACTTGAACTTATTGATCCATTTTAATTTATTCTCTATAAATTCTGTAAAACCATCTTTAACGAAATGAAGGAGAGAACAGCAGAGTGGCGCAGTGGAAGCGTGCTGGGCCCATAACCCAGAGGTCCGTGGATCGAAACCACGCTCTGCTAAGGACAAAGTTTAATTGTCATTTTTTTTTCTCCATTTTCTGTACGTTGACTGTAGACACACTTATGTCGTTGACTTTTCTCTACTAATTATTTTTACAACGTTTCTCATCCACAAACCGACCTGTTTATGCATACGCTTCGTTAAATTTTACCTCGTCGCTGCATTTTTCGATGGATATTAAAACTTATCTAATAAATTATTATTGGATATTAAAAAATTCAACTCCCAACGTACAAGTATCATTCTTCCCTAAGTATTCACTAAACTCTTCAAATTCAAGAGTTCAATGAAAATTAAATTCAAAGTATCGAGTGAAACATCCAAACTCGTCGAATAATAAGAACCCCTCAATTTCTCAAAAATTGCTGTTTTACAAAAATTCTATTGATATAGAATCCCGCGTTAATTAAGAGAAACTATAAATTCTATTAAATTACGGATTCGATGAAAATACCAAGCATTGAACGAAAAGTGGAGAGCCACGTAACACGGATAATTGTCGAGCAACCCCCGAATGCAACGGGGGGGCAGACAGTTGGAGCTGCCCCGAACGAGCAGACGGTCGTCCTGCGGGCACGGTGGAGAAAGGGGGACGTGGTAAAGGCAGCGGCATTATTTCAGGAAATATCTGATCGGTCGTGACGTCGCGACGGCGACATAGGCGCACGTACGGCACATGTAACTACACGTGTCCGACGCACTTTATCGCGCATAATTAATCCGGCCTAGGCAGCGACCGACGATGAGCCTCGTTCGGTGCACGAGAAACCCATAGTTTCCTCGTTCCTTCGTTCAAGAAAAACGACCGCCACGAGAATAACTCTTCCCTTTCTCCGTGTGCTGTTTCTCTCTCTCTCTCTCTCTCTCTCTCTCTCTCTCTCTCTTTCTTTCTTTCTTTCTTTCATTCTCTCTCGGCTCGCGCCCTCGCGTATGAGCGCCCGATCGGATATAATCGGCAGCGGAACACCACGCACCGTATGCCGTTCGAGGGGACTAGCTTAGAAAATAGATCGAATTAACAGGCCTTGGCTACACCATACGTGGACCCACGGTTGTCCCGGCCTTCGACGCCTCGAATAACGTAATAAATCACCAGGTTGGAAATGATACGGACGCGGTCTCGCCTTACCACGGGCTCGGGGAACGTGTAAACCCTCTCGTAGAAATAGGAAGACGCTGGCGCTTAGCGATGTTCCTGTATGAAGAGGCCATCGGTTCCCCTCGCCGGACAAGTGTTATCTGTACAACACCGTGGTCTGTTGGCCGCGCTTGGTACTCTTCAACTGCAAAAGCCACGGCATCGAGTTTTCAGTGGCAATGGCTAATGAAATTTCAGCATTTCTCACTGCTGGGACTGTAGATATCAAATTTTCGGGATTCAGTTGTCAAAGTCTTTAACAGACAGTTCTTTTTTTTTCCAAAAAAATTCAGTATACAGAAGTCAAACTAAAATAATAGAATCTTATTCTATTATTCGATATCAATCATTGATGGCCGTTTTTGACATTGATAAAATCAACGCTCGCCTTTGAATTCTCTCGTTTCACAAAATTGGGGAGCTTTTTTATCGGTGAAGTTCGGTGAAGAAGACAGAGAAGTCGCGTAACCAGCGCCCGAATGTCAGCGTCGAAGTAAGCGCGCTGGTCGAATTGTCGCGATAGGCCATTAGCTGGTCATAGTTGTCCGAGGGCTCGGTTAACCGAGAATAATATAATAAATCACACGATAGAAGGGAACGGGAGCTTTCGAGGTACTACGTTGCATTTCCGATAGGTGGAACAGCGTAGCTGCACGTAGCTGCACCTTCTCGTAACGTTCGTGTCGCCGGCGCACGGATCTCACGACTTCCATGTTACTCACACCATCCTCATGTTAGCGATATTACTCGCGGACGATAATGGAATGCAACCGTCTATCCAACCGAGAGGCGTGCTTTTTTTTTCTCTTCTTCAAAAAATCAAATTTCAACGCAACGTAAAAACACACGCGAGACACACGGAGGAATATATAAAATATTCAAAGTAAAGTAATTGTTGATGCAATATCTAGCAAACGAGACAAGTATATCTATGAAAGTATCTACGAATTTGCTTAAAAAAAAATCGATGATTCATTGCCAGTGTGAATTTTGATTGCGAGATTATCGTTTATCATTTAGGAAGAAGAACTTCACTGGCTCTCTCCAAAATCTGTTCCAACTTGTTCCGTATATTCAACATTATAAACATCTGTAAGTATATTTTACACGCACGATGATCCATCCTTTTCTACGTCCGACCAACCTGCACCCTCTATTTCCACGTACGGGAAAGTACGTCGATACACGGGGCCGAAGCACGAATTACGGAGAAACGGAGGAAAGAGGCAAAGACACTGGGGTGTAACAGCGAGCACCGCCGGGCGTCCCGTGCAACGGTCAGGCCATAAAACTCGATCTCTCAATAAATATAGGAGAACGCGCAGCGCGAAGTCGCGAGAGCGTGTACGTTTCTCGTTTGGAAAGGGAGGCGAGTGTCCCGCGGAAAGGGTCCGGCCGGCTCGCCGCAGGATCCTGGACGAATTCAGGGATCTCGTCGACGGGCTCGACCGCCTGGCTTTCCCTAGTCCCGCAACCCTGCTGAGCGTTCCGTTTGCTCTAATTTTAATTAAACCCTTCCTACACAGGATTTCCTTGGTAATCGAGGTGCCCCGGCAACGGCCATACTTCATTGGGACACGCTCGACGTGTAATTGCTCCGCGTTGCCCTTTATTCCGGCCCCGCCAACATGGCTCTGGCCAATTTTATTCCCTCGTGCGCGGTGCCAGGCCCGCGTATATCAACCACCAGCCAACCGCCGTACGTGTAATTTTCATTAATACGTGATTTATTCCGGCGACGCGTGATTTATGGAATTATATCGACGCCTCTTCGAGATCTCCGGCTCGCCAAGCCGCGAGAAAATGGTACGAGCTCTTTGGAAACTTTCATCGAATCGTCTCTCGGTCTTCCGTTTTGCTAAAATTATGTGAGAGGGCACCGATTAACAGAATATTTCAAATATTTCAAAACTCGGGAAATCAGACGAGCAGAGTTTAGCACTCTGGTGGACGAATTTTGGCGATTTCGGGCCGGAGATTCATCGACTCGGCCAGGAAACTGCGACTTTCGAACAGTTTTCAGTGTACGTTGGACTCGATGGATCCTTGGATCCCTACTTGACTTTGTAATCCTTTGTCTCAACTTTGTCGATCTATCTCCACTTGAACGACAGACGTGTAAAAATTTCTAATCGCGTGGGAGAGGGAGCCAGCTTCGGTGTTCGGGTTCGAGGAACGAGCAAAATCCTCCCGCAAAATACGTTGACCCCGCCCTCTTTTATTTTCCGCGCCGGGACCCGACCACGCTCACATTCATTTTTCCCCATGGAACTTCTCTTCCCTTTCACTCTCTCTCTCTCTCTCTCTCTCTCTTTCTTTCTCTTTTTATCTCTCTCTTTCTCACTTGATCTTCTGGTCCGTGGCGCGGCCAGTTAGCAGCGACGGGCGGTTTTGCCGGTAAGGTCCGGTAACGTTTGTTACCATTGCTCGTTTAAATAATCTCGAAACATGCATCCGCGGGACGGAGCGGCCCGACTCGTGGATGGCTTTACGATCGGCCCTCGTCGTTAATTAAGAGCTTGTAATTATTTAGTGGAGACGCTAGCGCACCCCCGCCGGCATCGAAGCGGTCCCGCGCTCCGTTGGCAGGCTTGATTTACATTCCAGCGAAGAATGCGAAAGGCCCCGGCCTCGCTTTGCTCTATTTTCTCCATTTCGTTTATTTTTCACCGGCCGCGTCGTCTCTCTGTGTCCTGTCTGCTCTCGTCCTGTTTCCACTCGTCGTCGTCGTCGTCGTCGTCGTCGTCCTCGTCGTCGTCGTCGTCTGTCCCTCTTCTTTCCTCGGACGCGGAACAACGATGACAAGAGCGAT